TTTATTTTTGACAGAGAGAGAGAGAGAGAGAGACAGAGCATGAGCGGAGGAGGGGCAGAGAGAGAGGGAGGCACAGAATCCGAAGCAGGCTCCAGGCTCTGAGCTGTCAGCACAGAGCCTGACGCGGGGCTCGAACTTCACAGACCGCGAGATCATGACCTGAGCCGAAGCCGGACGCTCAACCGACTGAGCCACCCAGGTGCTCCTGCCTTGTACTTTTTGAGGGGTGCAGTCACAGCAAGTTTTGTATAGGCCCCTCTGCGGCATTTTCTCCTCTGAAGTCCCTTCTTCATGCAGGGTCTACATTGTCTAGCCAATCGTCTGTTTCTGGTTTTCTCTAGATCAGGCCAGTGAAAGACTTAACTATACACGCTGAGTTTTTTTAAAAATTTAAAAGTGCCCTCCGTTCTGTTTGGACACATCTATTTGCACAATATTTTATCCTTCGTCTCTCCTTATACGGTGGTGGGGGGCAGCCAACGCATGTGTAGGAGAGCCTGTGCACCAGGCCCCAGCATGGAGTTTCAGGTGTCTTCCTCCGCAGTGTGACGGGTGGAGTTTGGGGACGGGAGCGTCTGGCCAGCTCTTGTGCTCACTGTTGCCACAGGTGCTCCAGAGCCTGTTCCTTGAGAGTTCCATTTTCTACTGTGCCTTTTCAGCTGCAATTTTGATATCAGCACAGACAGATACTGATTCCGGGAGCAAGACAGACGTTATCCTCTCCCTGGATTATCCTAAGACACCCCAGTTAGGTGGGGACTTCAAGGCACATGTGACATGGCCCTCCAAACTCTGCCTGCTGCCCCAGGTGATCATGCTAAATTATACATGGGAAGAGGCTTTCTGCAGTGCTGTTTTTCCACTGGAGGACAAAGCGCTCTGTTACAGGAGGGCTTTGACAAAGCGAGGCCTCCAGGCCCCGCAGGAACCGCGGAGCTGCAGGCGCAGGTTACCTTCCAACCACAGGGCTCAGCGTGTGAGTTTAAAACAAATGGGAAACAGATGCAGAGAGTCTGACTTTCTATTTGAGGGTTATTTCTTTGAGCAAAGACAAGCGCTAAACATTTAAATATCAAACTGGTAGGTTTTCGAAACAAAAAAAAAGGCAAGAAGAAACAAAGAAAAGTCAGAAGTGACAAATTTAACACTCTTCTCTGGTCAGATAAGAATCTGCCCTTAGCGCCACCTAAATGACGGTAACTGCCAGCTTCGTGATTCGGCATCTTTCTCTTTGTGTCTTTTCTTCCTTCTTATTCCAGTTAGATTTCCTCCCTTTCCGCCAGCTAAACAAACAAACAAACAAAAGCGAAAACCAAAGCAAAACAACTCTTTCCGTAGGCGTGATCGAAAGAGCGTCTCACACAGAGCAGATGTGCAAACGTGCAAACGTTATCCATCAGATGGAGGGATGACGTGGAGGTGCTGTGAGTGAGGTTTCCACACTCCTGTTACCTCCTCACGCACATCAGACGCGAAACGCCAGTCCTGGAGCTGTGACAGGCATTCGAGAAACAACCTGAAAACAAATGGAAGTATACCGGCCTACCACGGAAGGAAGGAGGGAGGAAAGACAGGTTGGCTTTGCTGCAGATTAGACTGAAGTTGTTAGTTCTGGTATTTGAAATGCTTCGGGCAGTGAGTGACCCAGTTGGCACCGTGTCACTTTATCTGTGTGTGCGCTCTCCGCTTCGGATTGTTTCGCCTGTTACACCTCAAGAATTGGCGGCTGGTAGGGTCCGTGTTTGGTGTGAATGAGGACTTACTATAAACACGTAAACTGGGCTCGCAGTACGTTTATGGCATTTCTTCATCTAACAGATAGCCTTTGTGCATGGCGGAGGCCAGCCTGGCAACATACCCAGGCTTAAGGTTGAACGAAAAACATGCAAAGTGGCCATCTGCCTTGCTTCTGAGTTTGATCTTCTGAGAAGATCACCAGTGGTTATTTTTACTCTGTCAACGTGACAGGTGACGAGCATGAAGGAGGACTTGTTCAGTGCCTGGAACTCGTGTCTTCGTCATGTTGCCTCCCTGTCTCTGGCGCGCATTCAGAGAGGCCAGTTGGCTCTTGTTGAGTGTTTGTGATTGAGTGACTCGGGGTGCAAGTTAGGTGGGAATAAGGCTGCAGAAGAAGGACAGTCCCCGCACCAGCCTGAGCCCTGGTGTTGAATTCAGGGCCCCAAAATAACTCCCAACCTACCAGGAGCACTGACCGCACGACATGCACCCGGAACCCAACACTAAACTCCAAGAACGGTGCACCTGACACCACCTGACAGTTGCCAATAACGCTCGATCGGTTGGAGGCAGCTGGCGAACGGTGGCCCCTCAGCAGTGGCCCTGTGCCCAATGGGATCTGCCATTCCCACAGAAACAAGCCGGAGGGCGCCCACGCGGATGAAGCGAGGGTATTTTTTTTAATAGGATCACTGCCTGGAGGATTTCAAATACCACAACCAACTACTTAAACCTAATCCTCAAATTAGTAAGAAACTGGTTCAGCCTTTTAAAGCTGTGGTTCCCAACCAGAGGCGATCGTGCCCTCCCCGGAACATTTTAGTGACATTTGGAGACGTTCTTTGTTGTCGTAACTGAGCAGGGGTTGCTAGTGGATGGAGGCCTGGGGCACCGCTAAACATCCCTCCGCGCGTGACAGCACCCGCAACAAGGAATCATCCTGCCTAGATGTCAGTCATGCTGAGAGTGAGAACCCACGAGTGTTCATCTCGACCTCCACAGACACAATCAAGTAAGATAAAACGAAATCTTGGGAACGGTGGAAGATCCATCAAGACATGGCAAATTATTCTGTCTTTAAATTTTTTTAATGTTTATTTTTGAGAGAGAGAGAGAGAGAAAAGGGAGGGGCAGGGAGAGAGGAAGACACAATTCAAAGTAGGCTCCAGGCTCTGAACTGTGAGCTTGAACTCATGAGCTGTGAGATCATGACCTGAGCCAAAGTCGGTCACTTAACCGACTGAGCCACCCAGGCACCCCAAGATATGTTAAATTATTCTTGAAAGTGTTGTGTAAGGTCCAGAATCATTCGTGTATTCATCATCATGCTCCTACTCCATGGGGGGAAAGCCTTAAAAGAAAAAGGCTCTCTCTGTGTTTGTTTGCCGTGTAGGGTTTTCCCTCACACCAGGCTCACCGCTGGCCCTAGGAAGGCGGGGTCAGGTCTGGTCACCCCCACAACTCTGGGAGCTGGCTCCCAGTACTCGTGTGTCCTCAGGCACCATCTTGTGGAGTGGAGTTCCTGGATGGCCTCTGTGAAGAGGCAAGCCGGCACCCCAGGAATGCCTGCCTCCTACCCAACCTCATCGCCCAGCCACCCCCCTCCCTCCCCACCCAGGCAGTGACCACATTCTGTAATAGCCACAGCCTCATTAGCACCCGGATTTGGATTGGCTTCCACCTTCTCCCCGGGGCTGGAAAGGAGTTGCCAGTGTGGGACTTAGAGGGACAGAGGAAGGGCAAAAGGCTCCCAAAGGTCATTAAGGCACAGGACTGAGCTCCCTCATTTACAGATCCAGAAATTTTCATTTGTCCGCACGCCCCCACTGTATAAGGCTCAGGGGCATTGACTCACCGTAATCAAACTCAAAGGTGACAGGTATATAGGCCAGAATGCCAGTTTATTCATCACAAATGAAAACCCAACTGCTGACTCATCTGTACACGCTCTGCCCTGTGGGGAAATCTCCATGGGGAATTCAGTTCGCGTCAGAATGTTGCAGAAGGCTGGACTGTCTGAATGGCTCTTAGAGGAGCATGTGAGCGTCCATGCTGGCCGGCCTGCCACAGAGGCTGGACCCTGGAGGCCGTGGGCTGTCTGCTGCCTGGACTGTCTTGTTTAGCTCAGCACCAGCTTCGCTCCCCAAGAAATGCATGCAAACCACCCCTCTTCTGTTGGTGGGCTATTTTTTCGGATTTGTTGATCCGGCTGAAACTTGATAGGAGATAAAGCAGCACACAGCCGACACACGGGTCAGCACTACTGAAGGCACCTGCAGCCCAGGTCTTGTCATCCCTTCTGTGTAGATGTTTAGAGCTCCACTCCCAGGGGTACTGGGCCTGTGGCTTCAGCACCTGGTCTCCTCCCTCTGCTCCTCTGCGTACTGACCACAGATATTACCCATTCCAGGACATGAGCAGATGAAACTTTTTTTTTTTTTTGAGAGAGAGAGAGAGAGAGAGAGAGAGAGAGCAGGGAAGGGGCAGAGAGAGAATAAGAGAGGTAGAATCCCAAGCGGTGTCCTCGAGGTCAGAGTGGGGCTCAAACCGTGAGATTATGACCTGAGCCGATCAAGAGCTAGACGTTTAACGGACTGAGCCACCCAGGTGCCCCCAGGTGAAATACTTCATAAACATTAAGAGATGGGATTAAATATGAAAGGGGGCATCAAAGTATCCCTGAACTCATGCCTTTGCCTTGGAAACACTGACCATTACGCCTTGAACCACTCGTCTCACCTGTCGAGAGCCTAATAAAGTTTAGGGTGAGGGTTGAGAACTTGGGCTCCAGAGTCAGGTTAACTGAATGCAGAGGCTTTATTTACCTCTACATGCTGTGTGACTGTGAGTGGTTTAATCAACCTCTCTGAGCTTTAGTCTCATCTTCATTTACAAAATGGAGATAATGTGATATTTACCTCATGAGGCTGTTGAGAAGATACTTGAAAGCGCTTACCTTAGATATGATCCATCATTAGGGTTCAATAAAAAATTGTTACTACTGTTAATTACTACTCTACAAAAAAACCTTAGTTCCTATTACCAAAGTGGAACATTTAGATGCTTGTTTCATAAGCGTAAGAATAAGAGAGAGAGAAAGCAAGTTAGCTTCCAGTGTATGAAGTCTTAACACCGGCAGGAAACGTCGAGGATTTAATGTCGCCACAGCGCAAAAGAACCCCACATTGATTCTCCACCATTTATTGGTTAATAACCACAGTAGCAAAAGTGATTATTTTTACGAAATTGGCCCCCTGCAATGTCAGAGGAGGACCATTTGGCTGTATAAAGGAACAGAAGCAAAATAATGAGAATTTGTTCAATGGCAGCATCTGGAAATCCCAGGAATGTTTTGAGATAGAGAAAGCCATCCGTAATGAGGAGGCCTGTACAGATACAGAATAGGTTCTAACAGTAGGAATGCACTTGGCGCGCACCGTGCAGGAACGATTTAGTCAGCATATCATTGCATTCAAATAGCATGCCGCGCCTCCGGCAGAGGTCCCGCGGGGATGGGGGACGAAGTAGAGGGAGCCCATCTGTCTTCGGTGACCGGACCCAGATGTTGCCTTTGGAGACTTTCGAAGAAAGAGCACAGAGGAGGGAAGGAAAGGATCAGTCCACGAAAGCACAGACCTTAACGTCACCCCAGATGAAAATGAACTCCGAATCTAGCCATTTTTATTAGGAACAAATGGGAAAAAAAGCCTTCTGGCATCAGTATCCGTTGTCACCTGAAGACTCAGGAAAACCATGTTTGAAACAAGAACGTTAAGCAGTCTCTAGTGGTTTCTGAAGTGGGATGTAACCATTACAATGATAAATTGTTATTTTTCTATGATACACATTTTTACCTTGCCCCGGAAAGAGCAGTTCTGAAACATGGTGCTGTCTGAACCCCTAAGGGTGTACCAATTCCTAAACAGAAAAGAGAAACTAAGCACTTTTATTACATAAATTACATCCAACGTTCTCCAGCTCCATGCAGAGTTGTCTTTTGGTTTTTCCCTTCTCGAAGCTTGTAAGGTGTTCTCATTATGCCACAGAAGTCCCTTTTCTGGTCCTTAATAAAGTAACTAATAATTTAGAATGTTCACATTAAGAGCACATTGTAATTGTGATTGGAATGTATAAATAGTGTGGCTGTCTGGCTATCAGAAGTTAATTTCAGACTCCTCTCAGGGATGATTTGTTTCCAAACAAGACTTATTTCTTAACAAAAATGTGATCATATGTGTTCTTAAAGCATGTATTTCTGTATTTTATCCGCGAGTGCTTGTTCCAGTATTCTTCATGGGATCAGCATTTATTTGCCCCTGTTGTTAATAAGGCTATTGTTTAAACAAACGACATTCACCTTGATTTCTTATTAGTCTTGCCATCCATCTTCTAAGGAACTATGGGAATATACTTACCACCTCATTGAATGTGTATTTCATTATTCGAGCTCAGAAAAATAAAATGCCATAACTAGGGAACCTGGGTGGCTCAGTCAGTTGAGTGTCTGACCCTTGATTTCAGCTCAGGTCCTTATCTCAGGGTTGTGGGATCGAGCCCTGCATTGAGCTTCATGCTGAGCCTGCTTAAGAGTCTCTCTCTCTTCTTTGAATACAGGTTTCTTCAGTGTTTTGCTGTTGTTGCTGGAGATAGAGGTTTGGCAGGTGGGGAAGGAGGGTAGATACCACAGGCATTGTGTTGGCTGGGACAATCTGCATGCCTTCCTTTCTCATGGGGACCCTCTGCTGGATGGGACTATCTTTACAGCAGTCCAGCCTGCCCTGACAGGTGGTCTGGGGTTGCAGGGAGGAGCTCTGGGGACTGCTGCCCCTGACACTGACCTTTCTCTTCGTCTAGCACCCATTAAATATGTGGGTGGTAGAAGCAGACAAGGGATCTAGGGAGCCAAGAATGGGCAGGTGCAATTTACGGCAACATCTTGGAGGCCCTAACGCTGGGGAAGAGAAGGGCTTTTCCGGCTCTGTTCCCTCTATCCCGGTCACGTGACTGAACCTCAGACACATTTGTTCCTGAGAGCAAAAGGTGCAGCTGGGAGTTGAGGGTCCCCATTTCAGAGCGCGTGATGCCTGGGAGAGCCACGCGACTGTCCTAGTCCTCTGCGGGAGTCGCCGGGTCCCTGAAGCCTGAAGTCTGGGACAGCGGAGAGGGGCCATCTGGAATGCCAGGAGGTGGCAAGAAACAGGGAGAAAAGGAAGTGAGAACTCACTTACCCTGTGCTTGCACAAGATTCCCTCAAGAGGCAGATGAAACCAGGGGCTCCTGCTGAGGGAGGCACCCGGGGAAATGGAGACAGTTTTAAGG